GTGAGTGTGGCCGGGGGAGAGAAGGTTCAGGAGCCAGGTGGAGGAGGAGGCCAGGAAGGGGGAGATAGGGGGCGGGGAGGAGATAATTTATGCAACACTCGGATGCGGAAAGGCCTGACCTGACCCGCGGGGCCCACAAGCATCCCGAGCATTCCGCGCGCTGCCCGCGGCAACCGAGGCGGCAGCACAGCCTCCCCCTTCTGGTGGGCCGGCCGCGGACCGCCGACCCAGCTCGGCCGCGCTACGGCTGGACCACCGGCCCCACTTGCGCGCACGTGGGGGCGATCATCCAGGCCCAGCATCGCTGGGACCCAGCGTGGGCTAGCCTGAGCAGAGGGCTCAAAGTACGCAGCTCGAGCAGCCCATCGCGTTCCGGGTGGCGGCCGGACCGGTGGATGGGTAGATAGATATTCCACCCCGTCACCCTTGCCCTGGGCGGGGCGGGCGGGGCGGGGGGAGGCCGCAGTCGATTGGGAGAGCATCGATAGGATTTAGGTGCCAGGGTGGAGCTAGGAGAGGGGCGGGGCGAGGCAGGACATAAACCGGCAAAGCTATCGGACGATGAAATTATCTCTTCGTCGTCGAGGAGGATCAGAAGGAGCAGGCGGCCGGAGCGGCAGGAGGGGCAGGAGGAAGAGGAAGAGGACGACAGTACAAGGACGAGGAGGACGACGACGACGACAACGAAGCGGAGGTAGAGAATCTTAGTGCTGCCGGCCCCGGGGTCGAGCAGTGCCAAGCGCGGGGGCAGCAGCGGGTCCACGGCCTTGCTTGCCGGAGAACAGCAGGGGGAGGAAGAGGTTGGCAGCAGGGCGGGGAGGGGCGGGGCCGAGGCGCGGCACTCACGAGGGCCCCTGCCATTGTTCGCGTACCGCCCCTTTGGATCCTGCCTGAACATTTCTAGCTTTATGCGAACAGCACCGGCAAAGCCCTGGCGCGGTGCCCCCGCACCCCGCACCCCCTCGTCTCCCCACGGCCTGGCGCTCTCTACACCATCGCGGCCCATAGAGCCTTCGCCCCGGCCTCCCCGGCCTCCTCGGGGACCAGGCCGGGGCGACCCATTCAGCCTCTCCTTTTCTCACTCTTCCCGACATGGGCGAGTGGATGCGGCAAACTGGCGCGCGTCTGATCCCAGTGGATCCCGCTGATGTGTACCGGGTGATTCAGAGCACGCGCCGCCGTGTTGCGGGTTTGCCTATCCTCGACTCGGCGGGCGCACGGGTGAGAGGTGAGGAGAAGAGAGGTCCCCTCCTCACCTCTCACCCGTGCGCCCGCCGAGTCGAGGATAGGCAAACCCGCAACACGGCGGCGCGTGCTCTGAATCACCCGGTACACAATTCGGAGGCGGGACGCTGCGCTGCTGTCACGAGTCACGTTCGCTGAATTAAGAGGCAGAATTAATCAGAGGAAATGCGGGGGTGGGGTTGGTGTGGGGAAGAGAGGCACTGTTTAATTCTTTTCTGAATGTTTCCTTTGGAGAGGCCCGAAGGAACTAGCTTTGCTTGTTCGTTCTCACCCAATTTACATTTTTTACTTTTTCTTCCGCTCCCTTCCCAATTATTCATTCGTCTGACGATGTACTCTCCGGCCGCGCGGTCCCCCCAAGGTGTCGGGGGTGACTTTGAAAACTCCCTGCTTCCCTCGTCGCTTATTAAGCGAGGGGCATGAAAGGGAGGGGGAGAGCGTCAGGAAAACTTGTCCATACACTTTGGCCGGGACTCAGACCCTCCTCCCATGCCCGCCAAGCCACGCCATGCCCGAGGAATGTTTTCCCTGCTGAATTGAGTGATTCCAGGCAAAGGGGCGAGCTAGGGGAGGTCTGGTCGTTCGCTCGGTTCGCCCGCCGCGGTCCAGCCATTCCGGCAGCATCATCACCGCGCAAAGTCCGAGGGAGACGCAGAGAGAGGAGGACACTCCATCGTAGTCTCACTCGCACCTTGTCGCCGTCTTTCGGATGCGCTCGCGAAACAACGATTCAGCATCGGCAAACCCAGCAGCAGCAGCAGCATCGGCCGACTGAACCGCAGCCCACGAGAATAACGGTCGCGACTATGGCGACGGCGGCCGGGAAAGCATCCAATTCCTCTCGCTATGCGACTTGTGCCCCTCCCCCCTTTTCCGCTCTCTCATCCCTCACGCGTGGACCGCACCCCCTCACTCCTCCCCTCGTTCCTCTTGCCATGTGACGGCACTCGATGGTCGCGTCCGCACGTGGCCGCCGCGCCCCGCCGCCGCCGCGGCCGGTTTGTGCCTACCGCTATGGCTTCCGAAGGGGGGGCCGGGGGGCGAACAGGGGAAATTGGATTCCGCGTCTCTGCAAGCAGCAATCTCTCTCTCCTGCACAATGCTCCGATAACTTCCCCCCTCTCCCTGCCTCTGTTTCTCTCTCTCTCGCCATCATGTAAGCCCCCGCCCGCAGTGCCGATGGGCGAGTTCCGATAGACAGTCCACGCCTCGACACTGCCAGTAATTACCCCCACCCCCTCGCTCCCTCCGCCACTCCACCCGACTCCCTCCCCGACTCCTGGACCGGCCACCCCTTCCTCCTTCTCCTCCTTCTTCTCCTCCTCCCTCCCTCAAACTCTCATATACCCCGTCCACCCCAGCCCATAGCGGACCACTCGATGCCTTTTTCTCAGAGCCAATCGAACAGCGGGCGATGAAAACGTCGGCGAGCGGCACAATCTACGGCGTCGACAATCGGATATGGGGACCCCGCTGCCCCCCGCCTCCATCTCCGTCAGTTCAACGGGCTGACGGCCGCCGCTTGGTATTGTTTGTTGGCTGGCGTTCGCGATATGGAGATTTCTGGCTCGGCGGGTCGGGGGAGAAGGGGAGGTGGTGGTGGTGGGGGAATCGCGAGGGACGGCGGCGTGGGT